CACGAACAAGTCTATAAATAGCCAGCCTTTCTACCAGAAAATTAACACCATTTTCATTGCAAACTTCCTGTGCTTTGAATCTCATTTCCCTCTCTCTCGTTCTGATATTGTCTCGAAGTCAAAAAACACTTCGTTGAGTTCGTTGGAACTCCTACAGACTGCAGTGCTGCTTCCGTAGGAGACGAAAAATTCGTTCTATCCTGGAAAACGATTGCTGGACGCCTGTAGCACCATTGAAGGCAGCAAATTCGTTTTAAGGACACATCGTGAAGTCGGTGGGCTCGAATTACAATTTCGGATCCTGTTGATCAATTCTTGCATTCAGGTAATTCTGTCAGATTGTTTTCAAAGGAGTGAATTCAAACTCTAGAAACAACAATTATTACTTTGATGATGTTGGATGTTGATCTGCCAAAGATTGCTAATACAGTATCGTTTGAGTATGTCAAGAATCAGATAAAGGTTATACATAACCAATAGAGGATTTATCACTCTTAGATAGTAAGAGATTATGATCTATATTTTATTTAGTTAAGTTGATAACGAAATTCTTGGCTGAGGTGTACTCTTAAGTTGAAAATGAGTTTTCGACTTATATTGACTTAATAGTATAATGAAAGATATGATCAATAATCAGGATTGACACACTTCCACATCTCGTAATTGATCGGATCATATTGGCGAAAATATTACAATTTCACAGTACACAAATGAGATTTTTTTGTCATACCACGTGATATTTTCCATCACATGTATTGCCATGACACATTGCTAGATATCAATTTAGGATGACAAATATGAATTGGAGATAAATTAGAAATGTTGTTTTAATTTATCAATTTTCATTAGATCGAAATAGTAATTCACGTCGTTAGATTGGAAGTTGAAGAGTCACACATAAAGGAGAACTAGAAGATTGTGATTTGTCAATTAATTAATTTAACAAGTATTGGATAAATTAATTAATTGGGTTGCTTATATAGACCCGAATTAATTAATTAGATTAATTAATTCATTGACCGAAATTAATTAAATGAGTTAATTAAATATTGGACACGACCAGGAGATGGGAAAAGCCCGTTTGGACTTATATAAATAAGTAGCTAGGGTTTACAATTTGTAAAGAATTTTATTTTCTTGTTAGCACAAGAGGAGAAAACCCTAATTCCCTATGTGAATTTTTAATGGAGGCTAGATAATTGGACAGCAGTGGATGACAGATCAAGATTGGTGGAACGGAATAATAGCAAAAAGGTTTGTAGAATTAAATAGAGGTACAGTTTCTATCTAACACAAAGTAGATTTTTGGTGGGAATTGAAATCTATTTTATTTTCTACCGGGCGTGATTAAGTAGATTCCCAACAGAAGCTAAATTAGTTTGTGCTTAAAATATGGTTTACCATCGGTGGAGGAAAAGCTGGTAAGCATATATCTCATGGAAACAAACACATTTAACTAATAAGAATAAGAACAATTGATATGATCTAAAGGTTTTTACCCAACTAGGTAGACAAATGAATCTTTACGTTTACTGTAAAAGCAAGACATTATTTGCAATGCCATCAAATCGACGACTGAAGTTCCATGAAACAAATTAATAGCTTGAATGTGTGAATTCCAGCAATGTTCCATTTACATATTCAACCTCAACGTCTGAATCTTTGATCAATCAAAGCTACAAACTTTAGCATGGAAACTCTTATAAATCAAGAATAATGAAAGACTAATTACGAACCTTAAGCATGGATCTCCGGAGGGATGAATCGCCACTAATAAGGACCCCAGCTTGCACCTACAACAAAATTCAAGTATTTCACATTATACACTTTTTAGACTCACAAAATCGAAAAATAAACAAAAATAAATTTCACATTTAGAGCCAAAATAGACTGACGGGCCGAAACAGAGTTGGCGGTGATCACCGGGCTTCAATGAGATAGAATCAGTAGAATAGTGTTTAGGTTCAGGATTTCAGCGTGGCTACCTAAGTAAAATGTGTCAAGTTTTTAGATCGGCGTTTAATCATCAAACTGGCCTAAAATTGCAGGTCTTCGTCGACGACCAGCATGCTTCAAAACGTTCGAATGATAGAGAGGGGCTTGAGTTTAAGGTCAGGATAATGTTTTGAATAAAAGAGAGAGACTGATTGAGTGATGTTTTTAATTTTTTTTCACATTTTTTTTTTCAAAATTTTAAAGTACTAAGGTGAGTTAATTGTATGTGATATTTTTTCACTTTTTGTACAACTTTTTCATATAGTCAAATCACATTTAATTAAGGACATGCAAGATATTTAAATTTGGACAATGTTGTGCACACAGCACCATTTACAGCCTTCTCACAGTTCGGGAGGCCCACGCGCAATAAAAAATTTGCGAGCCCCCCACTTGTGAGGGGGCTGTAGCCCGAGTTGTACAGCTCAGGCTGTACAAGCAGCATTTCCGTTTTTATTTTCTAAAGGGTCATAAAAGTTCAGAAGTGATATTCTTGCAAATATTATTAAAATGTGACATTTTTGAAAATGTCAATCCAAAAAGTAACATTGGGTGCAATTTATTCTTCTTTAAATAGAATGAAAAATTAAAACCTTTTGATTGTTCTTTGTTAATTTTGCAAAATTAACAAGCGGATACTATTGCGCTTTTATCAATTAGTTAGTGGATTGCTTGACCCGTTGCATGGGGCTCCTTAAATGTTTACCTTTAGGATTTACCAAGCTATATACGGTGTTCAAGTTTTAACTTGCTATTTAAACTTTGCATTCAGTTAAAACTGCTTAAACACAATATCAATCTACACATTCCAGTCAGAATCGTTAAAAACTGAGTCTGATGTCCAGTGTTTCAATAATACAATTAAATAATTTACCTAGATTTTGGAATTTACAACTGCACTCTTTTTTATCTCTTCACACTCTTCTCTCAAAAGTTGGGGAAAAAAGTTACAAAAAGAAGGAAAATATCAAACTTAAAACTTTCCATGTTGTTCAGCAATACTAAGCATCAAGATAGAGGTCAATTATGCAACAAAGTGCCTTCTAATAAAGAATTATTTGGGTACTGATAATCAAGATTGGTGTGGGGGAGCGCAGCACTACTGTCTAAGCCCATCTCCATAAATAGGTGACAAAAATGTAAAGAAATTTAGAAGAAAATAACCTATAGCCCACTAATAAGAAAGGACCCAATTTCCATAACCCACCAATAGGCAACAACCCAATTTTAACTAGTCTAATCCTTTCCTTATGGGATTAATAGCATCTCACCTTACATCAAACAAGCTATTATTGCCCAGCCAATCCACCACTAAGTTCCAAGCATACTGACTATGCTTATCATTCATCTGAAATCGAGCCATCAAAAAACTTCACTGTCAGGCCCAGGTACCCATGTGAAAGTTGAGTGCCTTCTCTATGTCTTCTTGTGATACTCGGATGTCAGTATCTTTAAGCAACTTCTTTCACAAACGATTTTCACCTTGGGTGTAAAAGTGGGGACTTCAAGGTATGAGATGAATTTTGAGTACTTACCCATTATTTGTTCATGGGAATTGTGATGTGGTGGGTGCCAAAATCATTTGTTGTCGATGATGGAGAGTGGTTCCTGTGCTTATTGCTGGTACCAAAATCAATTGACGATGGATAAAAAGGATCTTCACTCAACAATCTGTGTTTGATTCTCACAATAATGAAGAAATTGAAGTAGCATAGAGGCTGAATTTTTTGGAATCGAAATTTGGGGTAAAAGATAAGGGTACTTTTAAGAAGCAATCAGTCAAAATACCAATTTTTCACATTGACCAAATTTTTTTTGCCATTCACCAAAAGTGCCCTTTGAAGAGTAAATGTCATTTTGGTCCTTATTGTGTGTTGTAATTACGAAAATATATCATTTGCTCAAAAGACAATAATACCCTCTTTAAAAAATTAATAAATCCAAACAATCCCACTTAAATTTCAAAATGAAATCATTTTCCTTATCAGATTCTCCAACACAGTTAAAAAGAAAGTTTCTCTTCCATCTGCTTGAACATTGAAATCTCAAAAAATTATCAAAGGCTCAATAAAAAAAATATTACTTACAGTCGGCACTTGAAATTGGTAAGTATAAATACGTATGTTTAATTTCGTTTTAGTTAAATTAGTACATTGTTTGAATATTTAAATCTTATTTCAACATATGATTTTAGAAAAATGAAATATTACAGTCTTAAACGGATGTATAATTTTTTTTAGCAAAAACGAGGAAAAAATTCATCTGTTCAGATGCAAAATGTAGAAGACAGCCGGCCAAAAGACCGGACCGGACACAGGCCCCCTTTTTTTCTTATGTCATATTTTTTCATCCTTTTATTCTCGTAATTACAATTTTTTTAATAAATGATGTTTCCTAATGCAGTTATGGAATCAGCTACTGTCCCGATTTGTTACTTTAGTGAATCTGAAAATAATGAAATGATCGATGGGTGTGGAAATGGACGAGTGAAATACACAGTTGTACTACAATTATAATAACATCAAGTACATCATATGCATAAATGTACAATGAGATATAGAACTTGTTGAAAGTCGATCCCTCTGAGTATGCCATGGAATTGGGATTTTCTAATGGGTGAGCATACATCCATTTCAATTCCACCTATAGTGGTTACTTTTGAAGCTGAAATGAAAGTTTTAATTGAAATGAACCAGAAACGTGCGATTTCTATTTGCGTAACTTTGATGAAGAAGAATATCCCCGAGAGTGAACACGAAGATTTCGATGGAGGGGATCGTAATGTGAATGAATTTTGGGACACAGTGAAAATAGTGCGTGATGATGTTGTAGCTGTTCCAGAGACAGTTGCTCCTCACGATGATCTCACTGTTACACACAGAATTTGCTTGCTAGTTCAAGACAACGAAAGAGATAATGACTTTACAAGTGAGAATTTGATTGCTTTATCCCGTTTGAAACATGAGTCGAGTGGGAGCTCACAGGCTAGACCGAGTGCACGGTCCTCTAATTGTTCACGTATAATCTCCGATGATGAAAATTTGTATGTCGAGCAACTGTTTGACACAAGAAAGATAAGTAGGAAACTATTCATCGGATTGCTTTGAAGCACAATTTTGAGTTTAAAGTGAAAAAATCAAACAAATCGACGTACACAATTGTCTATGTTGACGATAGTTGCTTTTGACGTTTGCGAGCAGCGAAAATGGACACGAATGAGTTCTTTGTGGTTCGTAAGTATGCACGGGAACATACTTGCGAAGTGGGTATTCGTCGAAATGATTACAGGCAAGCCCGATCATGGTTCATTGGTCAAGAAGTAATGCACAAGTTTCAGGATCCATGAACAATCTACAGACATTCGAACATTATTAATGACGTTCGTTGAGAGTACGAAGTGGTCATGAGCTATCTTCTGGCTTGGAAGGCCAAAGAATACGCGTTGGAGGACTTGATGGGTTCGATCGAGAAGAGTTATGCTAAATTGGCCAGGTATTTCTTTGTTTAGATGTTTATTTAATAGTTATCTAACTAATTCAATCATTAATTTTAATTGTTTATTTAATTATTTATTGATTCTCTATCTAATGTGTAATTAATTATTTAATTCAATTGTTAATTTTTCAATTTTTTAATATTGTTTATTTAATTATTTAAATTATGATTATTGTTTATTTAATTGGTCAGATTTTGCTATAATATGGGAAGAATTAATACTGGATCGGCATTTTTTATTGAGAAGGATGACAAGAATCGCTTCAAATATTTCTTTATAGCCCTTGGATAATGCGTTCGAGGATTTCGAAACGCAATGCGACTCTTAATCCTAGTCGATGGTACAACCCTCAAGGCGAGATACGGGGACAAGTTGATTATTGCAACATGTTAAGATGTTAACATCCAGATGTACCCTCTTGCATTCGACATAATTGACAGAGAAAATGATTTGGCAATGCGTTGGTTTTTCACGAAGTTGAGGAAAGTAATTGGGGATGTCGAGAACCTTGCATTCGTAACCGACCGAGGGCAGTCAATAACTAATGGTACCGCCAAAGTCTTTCTTGAGGCACATCATGGTATTGTATGTACCATATACAAGGAAATCTAAAGACCAAGTATCGAGGCAAGGGTATCGTTACGTTGTTTAGGAGAGTTGCAGAGGCTTACAGTTTTCAAGAGTTTGAAAAGTTTATGGTTGAAATAGAAAGTAAATCCTATAATGCATGGGAGTATCTGACAGAGATGG